ATGTACTCGGTGGAATGGCAGAAGCGTGGACTACCGCATGCTCATATCCTAATTTGGTTGCTGAACAAATTACATTCAAATGAAGTGGATGACATCATATCAGCTGAAATTCCTGATCCAGTCACTGATCCCCATCTATACGATATTGTGAAGACACAGATGGTGCATTGACCGTGCGGTGCATTAAATCCATTATCGCCTTGCAAGGCTGATGGAAAGTGCACAAAACGATATCCGCGACCGTTAGTTGCTGAAACAGTCACAGGGAACGATGGATATCCAGTTTATCGTCGGCGTTCAAAAGAAGATAATGGTCGAACTATCAAAGTTAAAGTTCAAAATCAAGAGATTGAGATCGGAAATGAATTCATTGTACCATATTGCCCGCTGCTATCACGAATTCTCGAAACACATGCAAACGTTGATAGTTGTCATTCGGCCAAATCAATCAAATATTTGTGCAAGTACGTCACAAAAGGCAGCGACATGTCTGTGTTTGGTATTGCGTCGGAAAATGCGAATGACGAAATCAGCAACTTCCAAATGGGCAGATACGACAGTACTAATGAAGCACTGTGGCGATTATTGTCATTTCAAATTCATGAAAGATATCCCACAGTTGTACATTTAGCAGTGCATTTGGAAAATAGCCAAAGAGTTCACTTCACGGAGGCTAATGCGGCACAACGAGCTGAGAGACCACCATCGACAACATTGACTAGCTTCTTTGCAATGTGTGAAGCAGATCCATTCGCAGCGACGCTGATGTACGTGATGCCAACAACAGTAAAAACAAGTATACGAAACATTAATGCAAGCGGTGGACAATAATCAAACATTTGTCATTTCATTGATTTTGGCCACTATTCAATCAAGATGTGACATAGCGTTGGCGTTAGCATCATCTGGAATTGCGGCGACTCTTCTAGATGGCGGTTGTACTGCACATTCTGCGCTTAAGTTGCCACTCAATTTAAATACAATTGATACTCCAACATGCAATATTTCCCAATCCAGTGCAATTGGAAAATTGTTGATGCAATGCAAGCTCATTGTTTGGGATGAGTGCACAATGGCACATAAGAAATCACTTGAAGCACTTAACTTCACACTGAAGGATCTTCGGCGAAATAACAACATCTTTGGCGGCTTGATGATATTGTTGGCAGGCGATTTCAGGCAGACGTTGCCAGTAATTCCCCGTGCAACGCCTGCAGATGAATTGAATGCTTGCCTGAAGGCATCACCTTTATGGAATAACGTAAAAACATTATCGCTAACCACTAATATGAGAGTTCAACTTCAAAATGATCAAAGTGCTGCACAATTTTCCAAACGATTGTTAGCTGTTGGAAATGGAAAAGTCCCAGTTGATGCGACATCTGGATTAATTACTCTTACCGACTTTTGCCGATTTGTAGACTCTCAATTAGCTCTTATTGAAAATGTTTTCCCAAACATTAGTGAGAATTATCAGAATTATGCTTGGTTAAGTCAACGAGCAATTCTTGCCGCAAAGAATAATGATGTACACGCACTGAATTTCACCATTCAATCAAAAATTGCTGGCGATTTGGTGACATACAAATCCGTTGATTCCATAACAAATGCCGATAATGTAGTAAATTATCCAACGGAGTTTTTGAACTCTCTGGAGTTACCAGGATTTCCACCGCGTAACTTGCAACTCAAAGTTGGTACAGTTATTATGATATTGCGTAATTTGAATCCACCGCGACTTTCCAACGGTACTCGACTTTCGGTAAAAAGACTTATGCCGAATTTGATTGAGGCAACCATTATTAACGGAAAGTACGCATGTGAAAATGTATGTATTCCTCGAATACCAATGATTCCGACTGATCTTCCGTTTGACTTCAAACGATTGCAATTTCCAGTTCGCCTGGCGTTCGCAATGACAATTAACAAGTCGCAAGGCCAATTGCTTAGTGCTTGCGGGATAAATTTAAAAAATCATTGTTTTTCACATGGGCAGTTATACGTTGCGTTTTCACGAGTTGGGAAACCATCCGCTTTGTTTGTGTTAACGTCAGACCAAAAAACAAAAAATGTGGTTTACCAAAGAGCACTTCAATGACACGGATAATTTGCGGACACGTCGATTCAGTATTTACTTTGGATTCACTTTCATTTACTTAGAGAAGTTCAACTAAATAACACTTCATTTTTGTAATCGAAAAGAATTCATTACTGTTGTGAAATGAAATAAAATTTTCCCTTTTCAAATATAAAACAAAAAAAAATTCTTCTTCTTTTAATCACAAAACGAAATGTTACATAAAACGAAGCCATCTGGTGGCGAAACGGAGTTCGCCGGGTTTGCTAGTTCTATATAAAAATGTAATTTATATGATGTAAAATATTTCTTGTCTATTTCAGGTCACACCTTAAACTGAAATTTTTAATTAATTAAATATTCTTTACCTATGTATAATCCTTTTATTAATTTTACCTACCCTATCTATACTTATAAACTTAAGTTAAAACAGCTGTTAGCAGCAGCAGAATCCCCTTGTTGATTTGACTATGTTTTGAAAATTTTGCAATCAGGAAGGTCAATTATGTAATTCAAGTCAATTGTGTAATAAATATTTATTTAATCAATATTTTGAGCTCTGTGATAAATACCTGCATGTCAGTTTGCCAGCAAATATCTGCAAAATGGATGTTATTCTAGTTATTTTTTATTTTACCTTTAAGATAGCCACTATCCCCAAGTCCAATGGCTGTCTCCATAGTCCCTTCTTTCAAACTTTCTATAAATATTGCTTAGGTAAATTGCTGAATCATGTGTAGATCTGTGATCTGAACCATGTGTAGAACCTGGCCAGTGTGCAACAACATCCTGCACCAACAACTTTGCTGATGAAATTGTTTGAACGTTTATGGACATGTACCATAGCCTTTCCTGTTTCTAAATAGTTCTGCATCATCTCCACCTAAAGATATAAATAATACTACATCAGTATTGCTTGATAGACTTCTGAAGGAATGAACTTTTGTGAAAGGAAGTTAAATCAAAATAAGGAATTTTTACCTGGTGATTGAATTTTTATGTGTGTACAATCAATACATCCTAGTACATTAGGGAATCTAGCTATGCCATAAAATTCTATCTTAGCTCTGTCTTGGTTTCTGTTTGTATCAGGAAATATGATGAATTCTCGACGTAGGGATACAGTTGTTTGAGAAACTCTACTATCCGGCTGGATGTAGCCAAACTTACACCACCCATATCCGCCACAGCAAGCAAGTGGCTGCCTGTGGCATAATATCTTAAAGCTATTAATAATTGATTTATGGGTGGTATGGAATTGTTCCTGTAAAAAAATAAACATGTAACTAGATAAAGTGAATCACAAAATCTACAAATTAAAATAGGTAGGTAATTTAGTTGACATACCTAGGGTATTAACTTACCAAGGTAAGTAAGTTACCACCAAACAGGTACCTACAGCCTAGTTATACAGGTTCATTGTCCATTCAAAAGTTATTGTTAGATCAATAAAGTACCCTTATATGCTTTACCTTTATATAAATATTTTTATTTTGTAGCTAGGTATAATAGGTAATAAGTTAAAAGGTAGGAACCCACCTATTAGGTTAAATATTTAATATACCACAATTTTAATAATATTATGGACTATGGTACCTATACTAAAATTGATTACCTATGTAAATAGATAGGTAAGTACTCACCTATTATCAGGAAATTCCAAAAAATGTTCAATTTATTCCAACAAATATATCACTGTTGATTTAAATAACCTATATCTTCGGAAAAAATCTAATTCATCGAAATCGTTGTAATAATTTGATTGTTTTCGATATATTTTAGGTCTTCAACTACGATTTATATCAAATATAGTACCTATCAGTCATGTCTAAATTATCAAGAAAATCAAATAGATCACTGTCCATCTTGTACACTAGAAGTCTCTTACTTTTGTGACGGTTTATGGGATCAATAATCCATCCCATAAATTTAGGGGATTGTTTAGTCACTAATGGACCCTTTAAAATTTGTGAAACAGAAACTATCCCCTGACTGGTCCCTAAATATGCTAAGAGGTCCCATAAATCTTATGGGTCGTTGGTGAAAGTGGGTAAAAAATGTCCTCCCCCTCTCTTCGGATCTCGGATAATCCTATAATATTCCAGCGCAACTTGTCTATCTCTTCATCCAGCTCCAGGATCTTCATGTCGAGTCGTCTTAGGTAGCAACCTAACCTCCACCGAAGATTCTTAGCAGCTTCTGCGCCGCCGTTACCACTGTCGCCACCATAGTGGGCTATATTACCATAGTTATACCATATATTACATAGCCAAGCGTGGCTTGGCGAGCAGGTTGGCAACGGCAGTTTTTTTGTTGTACAATGGTGGTTGTCAGGAATATGATGCTGCCCATCCTGCCTGTCTCCCTCTGTCGCCTTTTACGACACCCACGGGAAGATATGGGGTAGTGGATATTCTTAACCGCCAACTGTTATTTGGTGGCAGTGATAGATAAGAGCGTGGTACATACCCAGACGGACTTATAGTAAGTACTTTTTATTAAATACAATTTCTTCTGCGTATTGGCCATTGCAATCAGTCTAAAGAATCAAAAATCTTTATTTCATCCAACTTAAGGCTAAAAATGCTGCTATCCTTTTAATATCTGAATCCTTTTAAGCTAAAAAAGTAGCTTGTCATAGAAAACTCCGCTCTTCCTAGAACATTATTTATAACATAAATTTTAGACTACAGTTTAAAAACGATAATAATTTAAAAATAAAGTATGCATGCAAATTTTACTCTTGTGTGATTAAATGGGAAAAAGTGTGTAAATGTATGCATATGAGAGACGTGTGTGAGTTTGTGTGTATTGCGTGTGCGCGCATGTGTGTGTGCGTAAGTGTAAACCTTCTGCCTGGCAATGTGCAAGGGTGTATATCTTAGAAAAGAAGATGAAACATAACTTCTACCTGTGACTGCAGGTGCACGCGGATGGGTCGAACGTGAATAACACGTTCTCTCACCGCTGGGCCGTACACGACCATCCACCTGGTGCTGATTATTACAACTGGACGGCGCGCTGTCTTAGCGCGGGCAAGTTATTTGACCCAGCTGCGATGGACGTGGATGCTAGGCACCCGGACGTGTACTGCAGGCCGGGTCTGCACCTCTGCAGGGTCGGGGACCTCACCACACGGTATGTTGGCTGTTCTATTTACAGTGCATTTTTTAAATTTTTTGAAGTATATTTCTCTTAACAATAGGTCTTCTTACATAGCCCGCAGTACACTAAATAGATGGGGAGCGAAATCATTTCTTCATAAAAAGTAAAATTGTCGCGCATTCACTCTAAATGAATACGTGTAAAGTAATAGCGCGATCTACTTAATTTTATAAGTCATTTAAAGAAACAATACTGTTATGCGTCATGGTTTTTGCTAACATTAGCAGTTACTTTTTGCTTACCACCCCTGATGAAAACTACATATTTTCGCGATTAAACATGTAGTATTTTTTAATTTATCTTGTGCTTACGAATATATCTTGGAGTAATAACAACAATATCCTCCAAACCTAATTTCGGTCACGGCGACCAGTCTCAACGGAGCCATCGGCGCGGGACAGGATTACAGTGTCCAAGTGTATGCGGAAGCACAGGTGCACTCTCTATTCTCTCACTCTCATAGTCCGATGGGACAGTAATCCGAGACGACCAAGTAAGACGACGAGAATTTTTTGTCAAAAAAACCCAGTACCTCATTTTAACCCAACCCGAGATTTTAACCTACAACTTTAAGATTATCAGTCGCGTTTACAACCACTTGACTAAACGCAGTCTTAGAGTAATAACTAATAACATGTAAATCAACCGGGATTTTAAACACCTTTTCAATGTCAAGAATAATAATAAAAAAATAAATATACAAAATTATATATTCAATACAAAATACATATCTCTTATATTGATATTGTTACGCGCTCAAGTCGACGATACACTAGCTCCATCTAGTGTCAGGAACGAGAGCGAGGGGAGCATTGAGAAAATGACATCACAAATCACTCAACCGACAGCGCCATCCGAAGAACTAAGTTTCTAGAAAATCTACACTCGCACACTCGTCCCTTTGCGCGCATTTACTTGAATATTCCGGATGCTTCTTTGCTAATTTATATAAATAGGCGCTGCAAGATGCGATCGAGGCAGTATTGGAATTGGCGATACGAGCGAAGCTTCGGAGCGGAATTAAGTGAATTAGTGTGTTTAATTATTAGTGTTTTAAGTTTTAATTTGTGTAAAGAAAATTAAAGTGTTAATTTAGGTAATTTTATCGGCAATTTTTATTGTCACTAACCTCAAGCTCGTAACAATATTATTATTAATGTAGATACACGGTTAAATACAAATATATATCAGCAGAAGGTAAGTTATATATAGAAACAAATATGTTTTGAATAAAACTATTTATATGGAATTTATCGCGTTTAATTAACTTATTTTTGATTCCTGACGATGGTCACGGGGGACTGAGACGTTTGACGTCCCAATGTCATAGTCTGGTTACGTTCAGTTTTTTAATATAAATTTTTGGTCCGATCTACGCAGAACGAGCTTATAACTTGAAGTCTTACAGTGGCATGCTTGGATTTGGATTTAATTTTGTTAATTATAAAATCCCAAGCAGATGGCAGCACCCTCCACCTCCACCTCCATCTTCTCTATTGAAATTAGGAAGTTTTTTTTTAAATTCAGTAGTAACCTCACATATCATCCTTGATAGGAATCGGTGTTCTTTTGCGAGGATTTGTGGTTTATCAAATCTGAACAAGTTTACAGACTGTAGACTTCCGAGAGCGTCGGTGCTTCACGTCAGCTATATTATGTTCTTTCACGCGCGTTTTTATAGATTTTTTTGTTTGTCCTATGTAAGAGAGACCACATTTATAATCTAGTATGTACACTCTTGTATCTTGTAGAGGAATATAACACTTGATGGATGGTAAAAATTGACTAATTTTCTTCGGCGGGCTGAAGTAAACGTCGGAAATTAAAAATAAGTTAATTAAACCCGATAAAATCCGTATAAATAGTTTTATTCAATGTGTACTGTTCGCGTTAAGAAATCATCAAATATGTTTTGTTTAATTGTTTCCGTATAGTGAGTGATATATGAGAGCAAAACACGCTGGAGTCTTGGTAGTAATAGACTTTAAAATCTTTTAGACACGGCACTTTGGCAGTAGCGGGTAAGAAGCTGGACAGTGCACGTCTTACAAGACGGATGTTCACCGACACTTCACTACCTCTGACTGGCAAGAATTCCGTAATGCGGAGATCGCTGGTCATCTATGATGACCACGGACCTGTCGCGCGGGGAGAGAGGATGGCCTGCTCTATGTAAGTTGTCTATTTTAACTTTGTAAAACTTGATGGTGAGTGAAAACTACAGCTTATTTTAACCAAATTTTCTTCAATTGATTTTAGTAATACAAGTTATAACAATCTGCTATCTATAAAGAATCAGTATGATTATATGTTGTGAGGCAATCTTAGTCTTCAGATGTGGCAAAGCTTCTGTAGTCTTTTTTGCTTAAGATTGGCTGCAGCTTTCCATGGATTGCAGTAGCCAAATACCGTCAAGTTAATAAAAGCAATTTTTTTATAGGATAAAGGTGTCAAACGAGCACACAGTCCACCCCTTGGTAAGTGGATGCTGTGGCCCATAGACATCTACATTTATCCCCAATGGAAAATCAAAACGCAGATGCGTTGTCACCCCTGAGGACTGAGATGGTATCCCTCGTTTCCAGTAAAAAAGGATCTCCGGTTCTGTACACTCATATAAGTTTGCTTGCTTCCCATTGCATTTTTAAGAAAAAAAAAAAGATGGGCAGCTGAATCTTCCCGATAATAACAAAATAATAAACTGCGGTTGCCAACCCGTCTGCCAAGCGAGATCACCACCGTCAGGTGTACTGTGTGCTCACCTTTTTTCTCACCCTTATTCTGTTGTAGCAGCCAGGATAATCAACCCTAAAAGGCAATAAATAATATATACCCTGCTGCTACCATAACACGGCAGGCGAAGGTCTGAAGAAAACATTTATTTCCAAATTATCCCCGGCTACTGAGATACTGCGGGCTGCATTCGATAATTTGACGTATATATTTAACGTTCTAATAAAGAAACAAGAAACAGCCGCAATATCATTCAGCGCCACATCGTCTTCACACGCCGCTATCGTCATGTATCCGTGGACCATTTTTGGGCAGTTTCTTCAACGCCGTAGCTCGCTTCTTCTTGCTGTTCCGGAGCTGTGTCCCACGCCGCCGCCGCTAGCCGACTACGCGCACGCGCTTTTTTTTTTTTTGCGCCCGAAGCAAATATGGGCAACCCTCTGGAAAGCGGGGGAGGGAGGTTGAGAATGCTCATAGCATACCACGCAGCCGGCTGCGTGGTTATGTGGAGACTTTTACCCACTAAACTCAACCTTTTGGGAATTGGCTTAACGATCTGACTAGAGATCTTTAAGCCGTATACGAACGCGACCCTCCTTGGCAGAAAGGAGGGCGCAATGCGCGCGCGCGGGGCTGCACCACTTTTATAGCCCAGTCCAGCAATGCAGCTACGAGAACCTATACACGAATCTCACGCCGGCAAATGGAGCGTACATAATAGTTGTATTTTTGATTGATCTTTATTGGTCATAATGTATGAATTGTAATTGGCTAGGCAAATAAAAATTGTTACTATTGGTAAACTAACGACGTAGCCGGACATATAAATATAGGCAGGGTTGACCAAAAAATATATTCCGTACTCCATACACCATTCGTCTGCACATCAAAAAAGTAGTTTCATTTCTCCACCACTAAACCACTCGGAGTCTGTTAATAGTGGACCTCATATCACCACTATTACACTATAAACAGTATTATATTTTATTTTCCAAAGAATAACTTGTAATGTAACGTACATGCAATGCGCAGAATAAACGGGCTGCATCGTCGAAAAGCTGTAATTCGCGACTGGTTCGGCAACGGGCAGCCCGACGCCCCCACGGGCCGCCTGGAGCTGGTGCAGCAGTCGGAGTACGATGTCACCAACGTGCAGGTGCAGCTCGCCGGCCTGCATGACGCGCACACCTACATGCTGCACGAGGTGGGTCACCGCTTGTACGAGACGATCCTACTCCAATACGACGAGCATCCAATGTAGCCAACGGTTGATCCTTACTGTGTTTAGAAGCACGGTCTTAAATTCTAAACATTTGAACTACATCTTGTAGTGACATAAAAACGACGTCAACACACATTAGAGTAGCGCAGTAGAGACATCCTTATAATAAAACCCTTGGAGAAGTGAAAATTTACTTTTGCCGTGAGACACCTCAAACTTATTTTGCCTCCACTTCAAATGATTGCAGCCCATGAACACATGCAACCAACTACAAACAAAGGAGGCTACAGTACGGTAGCCTCCCCTTCCACGTGGCCATCATCACCATCATCATCATTACAGCCCTTCACAAGTCCACTGCTGAACATAGGCCTCCCCAAAGTAATGCCACAAAGCACCACGTGACCATGGGTGCTGCAAAATTAGAAATTTAAAACAAAAATTAATTGAAATGCGATAAAATAAAACAAATTTCATAAAATTATTCTTATGCAATGTATAGTTGACGTGATTTCATTTTTAAAATTTCAGGTACCAGTGGAAAGAGATCTCGAGTTTCCCTGTGAAAGGACAACTTTGTATGACGTGTACAATCCTTTTCATGTCAACAAATCACTTACCCCTCCTCCAATGAAAGGTAATATGCATACAAATAATTTATTGATTAAAACTACCTTTACGGATTTTAAGCCGTTTAATTTTAATTTTAATTATTTTTATTTTTAATTCCCGGCGTTTCGGGTGCTTTCACAGCGCCCATGGTCACGTAGGACTGAGGTGACTGACGTCCCGATGTCATTGTTAAACCCTGAGTACCTTCAGCTTTTTTAATTATTGTTTATGGTCCGATCTATGCAAAATGAACCGATTATGTCCTGAGGTCTTGCAGTGTTATGCTTGGGTTTAGTTTTAATTTTATCGATTATATATATGTATATATATATATATATATATACACACATATATATATATATATATATATATATATATGATATTCTTACAACACCAGACCAGACACACAGATGTTTATAATTCATATGTAAAAGAATTATACTCTTTTAAAGGCACAGCAGACCAGTACGAGCTTGGTGATTTGGGGAGTAAATATGGATTATTGGATGATTTCAAAACTTTCTCCACGTTCTACAACGAAACGCAGATGTCTTTGTTTGGTCCATACAGCATTCTGGGACGATCTGTTGTTATACATCAGAAGGTGAGTTTATCGAAAAGCCACTTCCATATTTATGTTCTATTTATCCCATTCTAGTTTACTTGAATTTGAATTTTTGATTATTAACCACTTATTGATCGATTAATCTGTACATACTACTATCGATTTTTTAATAGTGGTGACGACTATTTCAAAGGCTATTTCCACTAAAAACCCTTATAAAAGTGAAAGAAACCTAAATCTAGCGGTGGATTTTTTTCTATTTAAAAGTAAGCATGACGAATTGGCAGACACACACCTATAGATACACACCTACATAAATCATCAATTACCTATGAATCAAAATGCAGATGTGTTGTTACCTTTAAAGACTAAGGTGGAAAGCCTCGTTACCCGCAAACAGAATATCCGATTCAATTCACTCATCATATGCAACACAGCAGTAATATACTAGTATATATGAATAGTTCTAATTTGCATTGTATTGATTGGATGATATTTGTACTCCAAATTAACCCAGAATTGCACGACTCAATCTGTGAATGTTATGTACTATATGAATGTTATATACTACATATAGTAGTTGTGTAGTTGAGTATAGAAATGTGTATGTCTTCGTAATTGTCATGTAAACCCTCGTTAACACGAACACGAAAAAAACAGACAAATAGTTCATGTTACAGTAATCTTCACAGTTCGTGTAATCTGAACAATGCAAAAAATGAATTCGTGTTTCTAAACTCAATATTATGATTCATCATAGAAACATTTTTATTAATAACTTTGATTTTATTATTTTATATTTACAATAATTTTTAAAAGCCAAATCGTTAAGAAGCCTTTGTTTTTGTTAATTAGTTTTCAAAAGTTTACAACCTTTTCAATAGCTTTTGTAAGACGGAAAGAAAATTTGAGGTATTGTTTCTATTTTTAGGTACTCGAGTGAATGTTTGATATACTAATCATTTGTCTATTTTTAGAAACTCCAGTTAATGACTTTCTAATCTCTTCAGTATTTGTTTACCGGTATTTGTATTAACCGAAAAAGGACAAAAATATACAAAATACATGATTTGGGAATTTTTATAGTTCGTATTATCCGATAATTAACCATGAAGGGACGAAAAAGTTGTTGGAAGTTCGGATTAACGAGGGTTCGTCTTAACCGAACATAATTACATTAAAGCTTATGGAACTATTGTCTAGAGCGAATTTTTGTTCGCCTTAAACCAAAATTCGTGTTAACCGTGTTCGCATTAACAAGGGTTTACTGTATGTGTATTGAAAGTGTACTTGTTAAATAAAAAAAAATATTTCGAGCGTGGTTTTTCCATAGTCGGGACGACCCATCCGTGAAGGCTAAAGCGTTGTATCACGTGTATAACCTGTTTTTAATGGTAACTAATTTGGTACCTAATGTAGTGGTCAATATCTACAGGGAGGGCTAGAATAAAATTCACTTTTCCTTGACAAATAGATCGTTGATCGTGGGGGTATTGGGATGCGCGGGTTGTGATCGGGTCACGTGTCTCTGGCAATTTTAGTCGCTAGGAGTCAGTTTACGGGAGAGCATCGCGCGTTCGCTGTTCGAGCGTTTTAATAAAATGGTCATTCTTATATTTATTGTGCGGCGTATGTTCAGAGTTAAACGCAACTTACGGGGTATCCGGCAGTGGATTAGCACTCAGTTACTTTCGACGCTACATATGAGACGTCAAGGTCGTTCCCGCACTTCACGCACGGAGCAAGCGATTCGGGAGGTTAATCGATCTGTTTATGAAAATGCGGAACTCTTTACGCGACGACATTCAGCGACTTTGGGGATTTCGCGAAGCAGTTTAAGGTGAATTTTGAGGTATGATTTGAATGAAGCTCCATCCTTATAAGATTCAGTTGGTGCAAGAACTTTCCCATGATGACCATAAAAAAGGGCGTCATTTTTAACATTGATATTAAAGCGATTTTCCAACTTCGGGAACATCTTTTTCTCGGACGAAGGCCACTTTCACCTGAACAGATTTGTCAATAAGTAGAATTGCCGTTTTTGCAGTGCTAAACAGCCTTCGCGCAAGCATCAGAAGCCACTCCACTGCCAGAAAGTGACGGTTTGGGTTACCATTTCTGCCAGAGGGCTCATTGGGCCTTATTTTTTCGAAATTTCTCGAGACCACGCAGTAACAGTTAATACAGATCGTTATGTGGAAATACTTCAAGAGTTTTTAAGGCCAATCCTTGATGGGCTGCAAACGTACAACTCCCTGACTTGGTCTAATGCCAGCATGGAGGTCGTACAGGAGCTATTCCCCGGTAAAGATATCTCAAAGAGAGGTAACATCGAGTGGCCACCATGAAGCTCAGACTTGTCCCCACCGGATTTCTTTTTGTGGCAATTCCTCAAAAATAATGTCTACTCTAATAAACCGAGGACAACTACCACCTTAAAAGCGAATATTCGAGGGGAAATGGGGGGGATGGCGGCTATATTGACGTCAACGTGCCGTCGCGTTATTGAAAATCTTAAGTTCCGCTTAGAAGAGTGCTTGCGGCAAGACGGGGAACACCTAGATGATATTATTTTCAAGAAGTAAATAACATTAATGATAGATTAAGTTACTTTTTGAATTGAATTGAAAAGACTAATACTTAGAGAGTTTCTCTAAGTATTATCAGTCTTTTTAGGGTTCCGTAGTCAAATAGGAACCCTTATAGTTTCGCCATGTCTGTCTGTCCGTCTGTCCGTCCTCGCTTAATCTCTGTGACCGTTAGCACTAGAAAGCTGAAATTTGGTACCAATATGTGTATCAATCACGCCGACAAAGTGATAAAATAAAAATTGGCAAAAAATGTTTTATTAGGGTAGCCCCCCTATATGTAAAGTGGGAAGTGATTTTTTTTTAATTTCAATCCTAACGTGTGATATATTGTTCGAAAGGTATTTAAAAATGAATAGAGGTTTACTAAAATCATTTTTTGATAATGTCAATAATTTCGGAAATAATCGCTCCAAAAGTAAAAAACAATGTGTCCCCCCCCCCCTCTAACTTTTGAACCATAAGTTTAGAAAATATGAAAAAAATCTGAAAAGTAGAACTTTATAAGGACTTTCTAGGAAAATCATTTTGAACTTGGATGGAAACACCCACCCACTACCGGGAGCAGTTGCAGGAGCGCGGAGCGCTGCTGTAGCGCGAATATAGTGGATACCCACCTTTAAACTCATAAGTGGGAACACTTATTGTGACGTACGGAAAACTACGGAACCCTACACTGAGCGTGGCCCGACACTCTCTTGGCCGGTTTTATTTTATATTGGTTTCAAAAGTGAACTTTGTTATGGTCCAACCTGTATTTATTTTCTTTTTTTTTTTCAAAAATATCTAGAGTTTTCTCCTGTATTGTAGAGGCAGTTTACAAATTTCACTAGAAAACATCCAGACCCGGAATAACTATTTGTATGCCATAGCTTACCATAGGTTGGTACCTTGAGGATAACCAGCTGATAAGTGACCGCTAGTACGGTTTTGGTCGTGATCGCTCAGCTGGTGTTCTTCTGGGTTACCTAACTCATAAATGGGCAGAGGCAGTAGAGTCTAACGGGGAGGCGTTGGCCGTTAGTTTGGGCATAGCGAAGTCCTTCGATCGGGTTTGGCACAAAGCGCTTCTTACGAAGCTTTCCGAGAAATTGTGCAGTTCACGGTACGGATCACCAGTTTTCTTGCAGGGCGGTGCATCAAGGTCGTAGTATACGGTGCATACTCCGATTACAAGACCATTAACGCTGGTATTTCATAAGGCTGAGTGCTATCACCAACGCTGTTTCTTCTGCATATCGATGATATGTTGCAAACCGGTAACATTCATTGCTATGCGGACTCCAGCACTCGTGATGGTTTATACACCGGCCGTGCCAATATTTCTCGAGAAAATGTCGCCGAGTACTGGGACATATTTGAGTCTGCAGTCAAGACTTTGTTGAATAAAGTCTCGGACTGGGGGCGATTAATTCTAGTCAAGTTCAATCCCCAAAACACACAAGTTTGCGCGTTTACTGCTTAAAATACCCCTTCGTCGTATTTACTCAGTTTCAAGACACTCCCCTTGTTGCTTTAGCCAGTATCGGAATCCTCAGCGTCAACATATCGAGTGACGTGCAGTTTCGTTGTAGAAGAGAAGGTCAAATTTGCTTCTCAAAAGCTTAGCGTGCTCAGCAGAGCGGAAGAGTATTTCGTGCCGGCACACCGCCTGCAACTCTACAAGGCGCAGGTTCGGCCGCACATGAATTACTGTTCTTATCTCTGGGCTGGGGTTCCCTAATGCCAGCTACTTTTATTTGTTAGTGTCCAGCGCAGAGCCATTCAAATCGTCGGTGACCGAGCTCTTTCCGATCGGCTTGACTCACTGGCACTGCGAAGAGATGTTGCATATCTTTGAGTGTTTTACCGCATTTACCACGGGGAGTGCTCTGAGGAATTGTTCGGACTAATTCCAGTTGCACAATTTCACAATCGCATATCGCAACTCGATATCCATACCTCTCGGTCCACCACTGTGCGATTTAAAAGAAGTTTTTTTCCTCGCACAACGTCCTTGTAGAATCGACTACCAGCATATATTTTTCCGGACCGATATGTCTTAAGGAACATCAAGAAAAGAGCTTACTCCTTGTAAAAAGGCCGGCAACGTATCTGTAATACCCCTGGTGTTGCAGCTGTTCATGGGCGTTAGTCACTTACCATCAGGTGAGCCGTATGCTTGTTTGCTCCCTTTCTTAAAGAAAACTAATGGTTCGTCAAGAAATGGGTAACATAACATATTCAGCGCCCTGTGTCGAAGGGTTTCCGTTAATCTAACGGCCAGGTTTCAGGAATGCCATATGATCGGGAACGTCCACCTGGATAATACTTTTTTTAAGAAATAACTTTCCCTTTTATGTTCTATATTTTGAATAAATATTAAGCTATTGCATAGCTTCTATCGCGGGCCTTGAGCGCGGGGACCGAATCCAGAAATTTCGTAACGAAAAAACCTCACGCTCCCCACTCCGACGGGCACGGAGGTGTGGCGTTGAAAGCCGTGCATCGTCTAACGTCGTTTCAGTTCGGCAGACTTCGGCACTCGGCAGACTTCGGCACGGTGTTTGTGTGCGTGCGACTAGACGTATGCGTGTACACTAGCTGCTAACTGAATGATAAAAATTCCTGAATAACCTACGTGTATTGTAAGATACCTTCTAATTTATTCAATAAGAGAAAAAAAATTGTTTTCTTATCGGTCACCACTCTCAAAAAGTATAACTTGATTTAATATCAAAGACTTAACTGCATAAATAAATAATTATAATTGCATAAGTTGCTAAAAAATGCTATGCAATAGCTTTACCGCGGCAGTCACCGAGTGCCACACGTATTTTTTATTTGTACACAATATGTAAAATTATTTTTATGGTAATTTATAAAAGTGCAAAATCTTGTGGCCTACGCTATGTATAAATTATTCCATTGTATAGGTCGCACCACGAAAGAAGAAATTAAAAAGAGTCCACTGCGCATGTACAATCAAGCAGAAAAATGAAAATTTCATTTTGGCATTTTAATATGTAAAAAGTCAAAGGTCGACATTATAACTACATATCAAAATCTCCACGAAAACGGAACGATATATTTATATTAGGTTTTAACTGCTTCTAAATAATATTCTGCATTTTATGTACACTTAGTTAAAGAAATAAAATATTTTGTGTTTGTATTTTTGTATTTGTAATTGCTGTTTAAACTATACTATGCGATAGCCTTCGATTATAAGGATATCTTACATGCAATAATTGCAAAAAAAACTTGTAGAAAATAACAAAATATTTACAACTTTATACAATATACTATGAATTACGCTATTTTAAATAGTTCCAAAGTAATTTATAAAGTAATAAATAGTAGTATACTATTTGAAAACATTATAGAACAATATTTTTAAAAGTACAAAAATCGCAAAAATTTAAAATTTCATAACAAGTAGTCGCTAACACTTTCGATATCGATTGTACACAAGACGACACAAGAAGGTGCGCGGGCGACGGGACGCAGGGAGAAACTACTTGGGAGTAGTGCTTCGCCCGTTGCTATGGTTTCGCTTCCCCGTACCTCACACCTCACCATGCCGACACCTATTTTTCGCTTCTGCGCACTATCTTCACTCGTGGCGTTGCCTATATTCTATTTTATTATGTTCTATTGTTTTGTCTCCCACAGAGTAAGAAGCGTCGCTTGGCGTGCTCGAGCGTGGAGCGCGGCTACAGTCCGTCGGAGGCGCGCGAGCTGCGCGGTGTCGCGTCGTTCCACCACCCCGGCGGCTTCGCGTGGGGCTACGTGCGCCTCACACAGCTCGTGCACGCCGACGGCAGCGCCAGCGACACCGTCGTGGAGGTCAACCTGCGGCACCCCGGCGAGCGGGACCGCAACCTGGTCAGCACCAAATACATCACTGAAATATTAATAACTCATAGTCTTTATTTTAGTTTTCCGTGTAGTGGCGGTGTAAGAATATCCACTGCCCCATGTCCCGTGGGTGTCGTAAGAGGCGACAGCGAGAAAGTGGAACAGGTGATTGGTAACAGCATCTTCTTGATAACTACTCAAAATATAATAAAAGACTGGGGCTAATTGGCAAAATTCCTCCCTAACTATGTGGAAGGCTTATATTCAGTAGTGGACCTTTATATACTGTGAATAATGGCTGTATGTTTCTTTTGGTTGTCTCTGTAAAAAACATATAACATAAACACTCACGCCTGTCACCCAGAGGGGTAGGCAGAGATTATAGACTTCTATTTGGCACGATCCTGACACACCTCTCTCGCCTCCTTCACATCCATACACCTCCGCATACATGCTCGTCGGTTAAGGGTACTCCTAATTTGGCCCGTTTTTAATAAATCGCCAATTTGGTCGATAAATTTTCGCCTAGGACGTCCCTTTCCGACTCTGCCATTCACTTCTGCAACATAAATTTTTTTGTCACTCTACTTATTCATTCTTTCCACATGATCAAACCACCGTAGCATTCCTTTCTTAATCCTGGTCACAACATCATCTTGCAAACCACACTCTTCTCTTATCGCACAATTTCTCATCCTATCATTCAGATTCAGCCCTAATATACACCTTAACGACCGCATTTCTACTGCGTTCATTCTACTCTCGTGCTTCTTCTGCCACACCCAACTTTCACTACCATACGTTAAAGTAGGGACCAACACAGCATTGTGAATTGCCATACGTGCCTTTTTAGACACATTTTGACTCTTCACAATAGAGTGTAGGGCCCCATACACAGGGTCTCTGTACTGGCAGCGTTATATAATTCACCTCATTTCACCCCTTGGATTTTTTTAATATAAAACTGAAATGGCATACCAACTAACACTTCACCTGATGATTAATGACAACACCAGCCTACACTACATCAAACAAGAAGGTTACGGATGCGTCTGAGGGCTAAGATGAAATGTCTCACAACCTGTAGTAGTTATACAGGCTTTTTATACCCTTCAGTTTGGCAAACTTCCCTACCAAGACCAACTTAGTATTAAATTATTCAACTCCTACGTTATGAACGATTTTGATTGTAGAGTTTGTTCCAATACGTATGGTATGTCTACAACAAAGGATGGGCCGAGCATTTTTTTTAATTTTTTTTAAAGCATCTAACGGTCCTATGATAAAATGGAATGTGAGACATTAAGGCATACAATTCTTGGAAGCACACTCTTGGAAGATACTCGCATATCCTGTAAAACACCGAAATACTGGCTTCTTTGTGCATGTACTTGCAACTGGTAAAATCAATTTAACGATATTGAGAAGGTGTTGTTGGTGATCAGACACACGGACACAAGTGGGAAATCTACGTGAATCCGGTGGGCGTGGACGCGGCCGTGAAGGTGACTGCGACTCGCTGCGTCGCTGGCGGCTATCGCTGGAATCCATACTTCACGCAGCTCGCTGATCCGCTCAACGTAAGTGTTATCCGCACGTACACATAAACACACACACACACACACACACACACACCACATACACACACCACACAACACACACACACACACACACACACATACACACACACACACATACACACATACACACACACACACACACACACACTCACACACACACCACTCATACACACACCACACATACACACACACCACACATACACACACACACAAAAACACAAATAACATACCACACACACACACCACACATACACACACACACACACACACCACACACACACACCACCACCACACAACCACACACCACAGATACACACCACACACACACACACACACACACACACACATACACACACACACACACAAACACAAACACATACACACACCACACATACACACACACACACACCACACATACACACACACACACACACACACACACACACACACACACACACTCACACACACCACACACACACACACACACACACACACACACACACACATACATGCACCCACACACACACACACACACACATACATGCACCCACACACGCACGCACGCACGAACGCACGCACGCACGCACACACACACACACACACACACACACACACACACACACACACACACACACACACACACACACACACAACGCGAATTGTCCTCTTTTTAAATACCCGTACACATATACACGCACACATGCACAAGTACACACGCGCACGTAGGTATATACGCACTTACTTGGACCACAGAATAAGTAATAGTATTACGTTCCAGGATTCACTCACACGTTGATGTGTTCAAGAACACGTGTTCTTTCAACTCCTTGTAAACGCACATAATAAAACAAACGCATGAACATGATACAAACAATCTCACGCACGAAATACTAAGTACATGTAATGCCTACAGTAATACGTATATTTAAGGGGATATTTAGGATGCAAGACATTTGAAGAATAGATTTTCATCTGTTGCTGACGCGTTGTACTCGAACAACCGAGCTACACAAGCAAGAGAGACCTGCCTTGCGTATTGGTTATATAAACTTAATTTATATTCAAAATTCACGAAGTTATTACAAAATATTAATATCATTTACCTCTTTCAAAACTCAAAAAATAGCATCATGCTATAAGCAGGAGTGCTACCAAGCCTGGGCTGACGCATCAGCGTCCCGGGATGTAAACATTAGCGCTCTAAAAAAGAAGTATAATTCCGCCTCTAGGTCTTTCAAAAGAGTCATTGGCCAAAGCAAAGTCTGAGCACATAGGCAGAATTGGCGAGAAACCAGTTCGCCTTCCTTCTGGAACCCGTGCATTCTGGTCTCTCGCCAAGGCTGTCCAGGGGAATTTCCGTCAGCCATCTCTTCCATCTCTGCACAGGGAGGACGACTCACTGGCCCATACCGCAAAGGAGAAAGCAGATTTTCTAGGCTGTTTCTTTGCGTCCAACTCGACTCTCGATGACGGGGAGAGTACGCCGCCGACCATCCCGCGGTGTGAGTGCTCTATGCCGGAAGTGCAGTTCACACAGCGCTCGGTTCGCAAAGCACTCCTCTCCCTGGACATCCACAAGTCGAGTGGGCCTGACGGAATCCCCTCAATTGTGCTGAGGACGTGTGCTCCAGAGTTTGGCACCGGTTTTAACGCGTCTTTTCCGGTACTCCTACTCCCTAGGCGTAGTCCCAAAATCATGGAAGACGGCTTTCGTCTACCCGATCCCTAAAAAAGGCGACCGCTCAGACCCGTCCAACTACCGGCCTATCGCCATCACCTCCTTGTTCTCCAAAACAATGGAGTCCATTTTAAACTGCCAGCTCATGAGGTACCTTGAGGATCACCAGCTGATTAGTGACCGCCAATACGGTTTTCGCCGTGGTCGGTCAGCTGGTGATCTTCTGGTCAACCTAACTCACAGATGGGCGGAGGCAGTAGGGTCTAACGGGGAGGCGTTGGCCGTTAGTTTGGACATTGCGAAGGCCTTCGATCGGGTTTGGCACAAAGCGCTTCTTTCGAAGCTCCCATCCTATGGGCTTCCCGAGAAATTGTGCGCTTGCTTGAAGCTTGGATCACCAGCTTTTTTGCAGATCGGGGCATCAAGGTCGTTGTAGACGGTGCAAGCTCCGATTGCAAGTCTATTAATGCTGGTGTTCCACAAGGCTGCGTGCTATCGCCAACGCTGTTTCTTCTGCATATCAATGATATGTTGCAAACCGGCAACATTCATTGCTATGCAGATGACAGCACTGGTGATGCTCTTTACACCGGCCGAGCCAATATTTCTCGGGAAAACGTCTCCGAGTGCCAGTACAAACTTGTGTCTGAAGTCGAGTCTTTGCTGAACAGAGTCTCGGATTGGGGGCGACTAAATCTAGTCCAGTTTAACCCCCAGAAGACACAAGTTTGCGCGTTAACCGCTAAAAAGAACCCCTTTGTCGTATCTCCTCAGTTTCAAGGCACTCCCCTTGTTGCCTCAGCCAGTATCGGAATCCTCGGCGTCGACATATCGAGTGACGTGCAGTTTCGTGGTCACTTGGAAGAGAAGGCCAAATTGGCCTCTAAAAAGCTTGGCGTGCTCAGCAGAGCGGGACAGTATTTCATGCCGGCACACCGCCTGCAACTTTACAAGGCGCAGGTTCGGCCGCACATGGAATACTGTTCCCATCTCTGGGCTGGGGCTCCCCAGTACCAGCTCCTTCCACTTGACCGCATCCAGTGCAGAGCGGCTCGAATCGTCGACGACCGAGTGCTTTCCGATCGGCTCGATTCACTGGCACTGCGAAGCGATGTTGCATCTCTTTGCATTTTCTTTCGCATATACCATGGAGAGTGCTCTGAGGAATTGTTCGGATTAATCACAGCACCCAAATTTCGTGAACGCACTACGCGGCAAACGTCCCGATACCATCCACACCGTCTGGATTCTTGGCGGTCCACCACTGTACGTTTCAAGAGGAGTTTTCTTCCGCGTACAACCCCTCTGTGGAATAGTTTACCACCAGCGATTTTTCCGGACCGATACGATCTGAGGACTTTCAAGAAAAGAGCGTACTCCTTACTATAAAGGGCCGGCAACGCACCTGCAATTCCCCTGGTGTTGCGGTTGATCATGGGCGGCGGTAGTCACTTAACATCAGGTGAGCCGCATGTTCGTTTGCCCCCTCTTCTATATAAAAAAACAAAAACCTTTTATTTAATCTAGATTATAAATAATACTTGAAAGTAACTTTTTTTACTTCACCACTGGTTCCTCTGTCCTGGGAAGGTACAGCAAGAAACCCAGCGAGACTTAAAAATAACAGCTTACATTGTTTTTCACAGTTAACAACACAAAAAAAAAATAATTAAATAGCTAAATATCATCCATAAATTTCTTAATAATATATTTTTTATTTACTTTTAGAACACATAAATATACATAATATAAAAACCCCTTTTATACAAAAAAAAGTTTAATAAAGTTTTTGAAACAAGAAAAATATCAGAAGGGTTGTGGCACAGAATAAATAATAGTACTACGTAGTTGTGGCTATATTTGGATGTTTTTGTGGCTGTATTTGGCTTTCTTTTTTATTTTTTAAGTTCGATAAATTTGTTTTCTAAGTGTTTAATTTACGGTGGTATAACCGGTATATATAACTTTCAGTTATTTTAGATCCTGAAATAATAAATAGTTATACGTGGTAGTTTATTCTATAAAAAATCATTTATGAAAAAAAACATTGAATCATAGTTATAGATTCTTTCGTAGAAAAATATTTACTCAGGTTTCATTGATCAGGAAGAAAACAGATAATGTACGTTTGTATCAAAGAGAATATAATCACTAGTTTGTAAGAACGCCGCCCGGAAATTCTCTTAATTAATTTAATTTCACAATTTTCGTGTTAAGCAGCGATGTATAACTTGTCCTGTGGTGTTACAGCACGACCTGTACTCCGCGGAGTGCGGCGCGGACAACCCGTTGCGCTGTGACGTGGGCGACCTCACCGCTCGCCTCGGCACCATCAGTCAGTACTTATTCTTTACATCAGTCATCACTTTATTTTTTACATCAATCAGCACTTTATTTTTTACATCTGTCAGCACTTTATTTTTTACATCAATCAGCACTTTATTTTTTACATCAGTCAGCACTTTATTTTTTACATCAATCAACACTTTATTTTTTACATCACTCAGCACTTTATTTTTTACATCAATCAGCACTTTATTTTTTACATCAGGCAGCACTTTATTTTTTACATCAGTCAGCACTTTATTTTTTACATCAGTCAGTCAGTCAAAAAGGTTCTCAAGTAGCAGCCTCGTGCCGGTAGACGAAGTGTAGGGTGACCCCCCACTAGATGGAGTGACGACCTAGTAAGACATGCAGGAAGTCGATGGATGCAGGTGGCTCAGGATCGTGCTTTGTGGCATACCTTGGGGGAGGCCTATGTTCAGCAGTGGACTATGGAAGGGCTATAATGGTGCTGATGATGGTGATGAAATGTTATTATAAAAGTTCTTGAATGATAATTTTGACTAATTATATTAACTTTAAATTATAATGACTAATTATGTTATTTGGTTATTGTTATCTATTTAATTTTATCAATGTAGAATCTTAATTGGTGTTACAATTTCATTACTTTTTATTCTATTTTATTTTTATGGCATGATTCTCATAAGAACAAACATTTGTCTTTGTATGTCTTTAAGAAAAAACATAGCGTACTATAATTGTAACCCTTGCAAGACCTTAAAATGTTTAAATTTACCTACTATGTTTGACAAATAAACTATTCTGATTCTGATCAGTTAGCAGTTTATGTTTTAAATCAAAGTACCATTTTACATCCGCTAGTACTTCATTTTTAACATCAATTGGTACTTTTATATTTTAGATCAGTCAGTTAAATTATTTTTTACATCAAACAGTACTTTTTACATCCGTTAGTACTTTATTTTTTACATCAAACAGTACTTTTTGTACATCCGTTAGTACTTTATTTTTTACATCAAACAGTACTTTTTACATCCGTCAGTACTTTATTTTTTAAATAAGTCAGTACTTTTTCCTAAATGCCTACGCATATACACTTCGCGGGGGCAAGGACGTATTATGTCTGACTCCCACCGACTAAAACCCCATGGTGTTCCACCCTCGGCTGCGTATTAGCAGGGCCATGGGAACGTGCATAGACATATCGGAGGCCCGGCAGCGGCGGCCTCAGGAGAGGACAACTTCTCCCTCTTCATAACTCAGTACTTACACACTGACCGGTGAATACTGTTCACCCCTCGCTACCAAGTTGTTATTTAATCGCGTTTAATTCCACTTATTTATAATGGTATCCTTTAAGCCGCTAGTGACATTAATTACCTGATGATAAGTGGGCACATCTTACTTGCTTTCCTTTGTTTTTTTTTTAAGCATCCAGTATGTAATTTTCTTTACAGCCGTAGGAGGTGAGCGGCAAATGTTCATGGACGGCAACTTCCCTCTGGAAGGCACCGTCTCAGCCATGGGCCGCTCCATCGTGATCTTCGGTCCGGACCGGAGCAGCGAACGGTTCGCCTGCGCCAACATACAGCCCGACAAGGATATCATCAAATACGTCAACATTATGAAGCCACCCAGATTTGTTCTGTAAGTCCATTTCACTCACCATTCATTAATTTCAACCTATCAAATGTCTACTGCTGTACGTATTTTGCTGTCGTAATTAAGATAAGACTTTTTCTAATGAGGGCGTTCACGATTTTGGTGTTGCCACTTACAAACGAGTTAAAACATTTGACAAATTACATGGCGGGGAAGTTAATTTGTTAGAAAAATGTAAGGGTTTATGTTTCTTTTTGCCATATTACTTATATTTTATATTAATTTGATTAGAAATGAATAAACAAAACTACTATTCATAGATATTCCAAAAAGTATAAAAAATAAAAAATGTGAATAACATTATGGAACAAACCAATGTGATCTAGTTTTCTATAAACTGATAAAATTTCGTTTAAAACGCAACTTCTTCATTATATCAAAAGTTTCACCTCAGTCTCCACTAGAAGATTATTATACCTCATATATATGTAAAAGGAACATTCAACAAATGTAAATAAAAAATAACAATGTTTTATAAATATTTGCTTAAAATTTGCACGCCTGGATTGGCATAGGGTTCCCAACCCTCCCGGATTGCATGGGAGACTCCGATAATAATGGTTAATCTCCCGACTCGCACTCGCCTTGCGAAATCAACAAATATTAGATGTTGCTCGAAAGCATAGTAGGCAAATACAAATTTAAAAATTAATAAATGATTGAGATTTTCTTTCATCCCCCCCCCTCCCCGTATTTGATTACATAAAATTCTCCCGGGTTGGTCCTTCCGAGAGTTTGTAACCCTAATTAGGCAGTGTATTGGAAGTTCTATGTTTTAATAATAATTTCGTAACGCGTACATTCTATGCTAAATAATAATTATGAATGATGAATAGGTTTCGTATATTTACTATTAGAGGTTTCTTGCCATTATTATACGTTGGGGAAGGACGGTTGGCAACTTTTATTGAGTTGTTATCAGGAAGTTATAACGAGTTGAGTTCAGGATGTTATCTAAAAATAAAAATTAAGTATTGCGAACATGGTGATGGCATGTATCCCCCTCCCCATTTAGAGGAGGCTATGTTTAGTAGTGGACTTTGGTGTGAGGTTGTAAAATTAATGATTGCTCTGTGAGAAATACCGGAGAGGGTCTGCCCTGCACAGTAGTCAGGTTCAATAGCTATTATATAGAAAAGAAAAATATTTTACAAAATTTATAAAATAAAAAATTATGAAAGTTAAAAATAAACAAATTTAGATTACAAAGTTTAAATTTTGTTATTAAATCTAGGGGTTGCGGGACTAGAGCAAGTAAAAATTTTCATATGAATCAGCCCTGGATTTATAAAAGCAAATGATTTTTTTATATAGAATAAAGGTGACAAATGAGCACGTATTGACGGTGTGTGTGTGGTGAAGTGGATACTGTGGCCCGTAGACGTCTACATCTACCCTCTATTAAGAATTAAAATGCAGATGCGTCGTCATCTCTACGGACTAAGATTTAATGCTTCGTTGCCAGTTCAAAAGGGTATCCGGTTCTCTGCACTCAATATACGAAACACAGCAGCATTAAGTTGCTATTTTACGCTGGTATTCTGTGAGAGCGTGGTTCCTCCCCGGTCGAGCCCACCTATTCTTGCTGCAGCCATAATATAGCTGCAGCATGGCTTGACCGTATCAAAAATATTTTCTATGTTACAGTGGACAATTCCTGGAGGAAATGCGCAGCATCATGGGCGTCCCTCCCTGGATGCTGGGCGTGGACTCGCGGCGCACGCGTGTGCTGCATTACGGCGCCTGCGTGCAGATCTTGCTGCACTTCACTGGACCCAGCGCCAACCAGCTCGAGCTGGACTTCACCAGGTTTGCGCTAGTCTCTGTTATCTCTCTTGCATGATGTTGTAGCGTTGGGCATGAACCTCAAAATAATAAAATATAGCTCTATCAGTGTAACTCATATAATTGTAATTATGCTATAGGCTACCGAAAGGAGCATAGGATTTATGTGGGCCTGAAGTAAGCTAATTGGTATATATTTAAAAAAGAGCTACATTTCTCTAAAGTAAAATACAAAAACTAACTCTTACAATTTAGAATTTAAAAAATCAATAAAATAAGAAACATATTGCAAAGTAGATTGTAAGCAATCGATTTTATATTTACTCAGAAGCAAAAAATAAAATGAAAAAGTTTCTAAAGTGTTATTAAAATTTTATTATTTACTTTGAATGATACAGACCTATATTTGCAAATAAAATATATTATATGCATAAGGAAAAAAGAAATAAAGAATTAAAAAAAGAAAAGAAAAAATGTAAATGAAATAGACAAATGAAATTCTCGTTTCTAAACGCTACCTACAGCTAAAGGACTTGAATTGACATTTCAAACTTCAAAACTATTCACTTTAAAAGAAAAATAATGATTTTTGATTGAATTTGAAACAAACGCTATACAATGAATTCTCGATTATATTAAGCATCTTAATATATATTTTGGATTACTTTTCTGTGTTAAAATAAGAATAAAATATAGAAAATATCAACATGACAACAAATAATAGTAACAACAACAACAACAATGCAAGTAATCGATCTCAGATCGGTATGCCTAATACATATTTATTTCACTTAGTTGTTGTACAGTAAACCCTCGTTAATACGAACACGGTTAACACGAATTTTGGTTTAAGGCGAACAAAAATTCGCTCTAGACAATAGTTCCATAAGCTTTAATGTAATTATGTTCGGTTAAGACGAACCCTCGTTAATCCGAACTTCCAACAACTTTTTCGTCCCTTCACTATCGATATCGATTATACGATTATCGATTATATCGATAATACGAACTATAAAAATTCCCAAATCATGTATTTTGTATATTTTTGTCTTTCTTCGGTCAATACAAATACCGGTAAACAATGGATGAAGAGATTAGAAAAGTCATTAACTCGAGCTTCTAAAAATAGACAAAGGATTAGTATATCAAACATTCACTCGAGTACCTAAAAATAGAAACAATACCTCAAATTTTCTTTCCGTCTTACAAAAGCTATTGAAAATGTTGTAAACTTTTGAAAACTAATTAACAAAAACAAAGGCTTCTTAACAATTTGGCTTTGTTAAGAAGTGTGCATATAAACTGATGTCCGATGAAACTCACTCTTCAGTTCTTCAAGATGTCTAAGCGAATGCAGACCTCTCTTGACGTGCAAACTAAGTACGAAATTTTGACTGAAGTTGATCGCGGTGTCTTTTCGAAAACTGCCGTAGCCGAGAAGTTTCAAATTCCAAAATCTACTTTGTCTACCATTCTGAAAAATAGAGAAAAGATAGAGGAAGCTATCGCTTTTGGAAGTACCAACAGTCGTTCGAAACGTTTACGTACAGCTAACCACGAAGACATAGAATCGCGATTATTGACATGGTTCAATCATATGCGGTCAGAAAACATACCATTGAGCAGACCTCTTGTGAAAGAAAAGGCACTCAAAATTGCTGAAGATTTGGCAATCAGTGACTTTAAATGTTCGAATGGATGGTTATGGAGATTTCAACAGCGGCACTGAATTTCTTCACAAAAAATTTGTGGCGAGGGAAACAAAGTGAATGAAGAAACTGCAAACGAGTACGTCAGTGTCGATGACGATCTGGCCACGAGTTTGAATGAAGATTTGACTACGGGCCTGAATGACAAGACCCGGGATCCAGGAGTAGCTTGATCCCAGATCAACACGAGTCCCGTGATGAGAGCGATATCGAAGAAGTCATCCCACCAACGTCGAAGGAGGTCAGAGATGCACTCGATATTTTTCTTCGCTATGCAGCGACGAACAACGTTTCAGACGCATTTTCAGATGGGCTGGAAACGATCAACTTCGAATGTGCACGCAAACTCCGACCAACTTATCGCCAAATCAATATCGAAATGTATTTTATGAACAAATAAATAACAAACATGTCAAAATCGTATAATATATAATAATAACAATGTTAAGTTAAAATACTTATAATAAAAAGTTATTGTAAATATAAAATAATAATATCAAAGTTATTAATAAAAATGTTTCTATGATGAATCATAATATTGAGTTTAGAAACACGAATCATTTTTTGCATTGTTCAGATTACACGAACTCCGTTTACTTGAAAAGTAGCCTGTTATAGTGTAATTACAGTGGAAAATATACTTATTCTACAATAACTCAACTCTTAGATTGTTTTTTTATCTAAAACCAAGCGTGAGCTTTAAGATACTGTTAAATTTTACAAAGATTGGGTCAAAACAGTTGTAAGCCGATAACAGCCCAGGTTTACATTGTGGCATCAAGACGATTAATACCTGGGCTTCCCAATGATGATGGTTGCTCAAAAGATCCAGAAAGTCGCAAAATTTAAATAAGTTGCAATAAACACCACATTAATCCATAACAAATAGTTTCATTTGATTTTTTTACTTTTTATAATCCAGTGCTTGACCACAATCCCACTTGGTGGTAAGTGGTGATGCAGCCTTAGACGGTAAATCGCACTGTCTTAGCGTAACAAAAGCCTATTCACTCTTGCCTTGAAGACGCCCAGATTGTATTCGGACGGAAAGATAGACGCCGGCAAATGATTCCACTCCTTTGCTGTACACATTAAAAAAATCGAAGTAAAACGTTTGGCTTTAATGCGTGGAATATAAGAAAGGGGTGAAGTCCCTCCGACCGCCTGGTAGTCCGATGGTGGAAGGGAAACTAGGAACTCCGAAATTTTATGGTTTAGAATATATGTCCTGTAGAAAAACAGGCTTTTTCTGAAACTAGACAGCTTAGTACATTATTTTATAGCAGATGACACGTGCAGCAATCCCTACGTGTAAGAGTATCCACCACCCCATACCACCGCGTGGGTGTCGTACCAGGTGACAGAGATAAACGGAAATGTGAAACAGACTGGGAACTAAGATGTATATAGATAGATGTATAAGTTACCAACTCGTCGGCTAAGCATGGTGTCTATGGAAAAATCTCCTTCTAAGAAAATCTGTTTTTAGACCTATGTTCAGGACTTTTATAGACTGTATTGGATGGAATGGATGTTGCTTGTTTAATTTTAACCAAATCTACTCATTTTCTTATTCTTTATATTGCAATACTAGCGACCCGCCCTGGGTTTAACTGGATGGGATCGATTAATGTGGCGTTATGTAGATTTAAAGTATTTTACCATAAAGATATTAGTAGTTACTTTGCAATCATCCGCTCAATTATATAAAATGATGTGTCCTACCTAGTTTGAAGAGCACCTCTCGCCCTTCATCAATTGCTTGCACTAATCCTGTCACCACCAATCCCAACACTACCACTCCCAACACCACTATTCTAGTAAAGACAAACATATCTTTATTATAATGGATTTCCGCAAAGTAACGCCTGATTCTATCAATTATAATTATTTCACCATTTTCTTTTAAAAAATCTCCTAGTTTTTCGGATATAATACAGCCCAGATCACTCGTGGCATTGCTCTCTATATCGCACATCCTCTAAAAAACAGTCACATTACAAAAAATGGCGTTTTGAGTTATAAACGCAGTTTTATCCCGCTTTCTATTCTCTAATTATGAATAAAACCGCCATAACTGTAGTGTGACAGAATGCTACTTACTAGATTGTGCAAGTGTCAGTTTTCTCGGGAACACAAATGCGCTTCGCCCTCTCGGAAACAGTGACGCATCAAAGCAATATTAGGGCCGCCGCTGATTGCAATTTTTTGTCGACGTGACTTTTTGTCACTTAGTCAAGTGTCAATGAAGTCAATGAAAACTATATTGAGTGCGCTCATTATGGTGACGTGATAATACGGTGACAAATAGTTGCAGCGGCAGGCAACACCGGAGTGACGTGCCTGTCACTCGCCCTGTGCATTACTATGGGAGTGCGCTCACTGGTGACTTTTTGTCACTCGGCCGGCGCGCGCGTTCGGAGTAGACGTAAGCTATTTAAAGTATTTGTTAAATAGTATTAATATATGTGGCAAATTACTCTGTAGATTATTGTGATATTGCAATTTTTTATGCCTCTGGTTAATAAAGATTTTTTGTTTAATTAAGTAGTTAATGTAGTTTTTGTTACTTATCTCAAAGTTACCGTTAACTTTTCTTCTGCTGGAATAGCTTTGCAAAGCCAGCAACTCATCAAAAGAGTTTATATACATACGAAGATAATTAAAAAACTTTGGTGAATACTGACGTAATTCAGAATATATAGTGTAGAATTTTCCTTTAAATAATCCTTCCGTGTATATATGATGCACCCAGTAGCGTTTTTTCCGTTTCATTTTTCTTCTACGTATTTCAAGAGCAAAAATCACGGCAACCTCGTTGAAGTCCATTACAAAAATGAACGCGATTTGTTACCCAAGAACAGATTCAGTGAGCGCATCGTGGGTGACAGCAGGTGACAGTAATAATAAATCACGGTGACAAAAAATTGCAATCAGCGGCGGGCCTTAGAAAGTACTCTGTGCATCAAAGCTTACGGCGAGTGAACGTGTGTTAGTGCTCGTGAAAACTATCATAAGCTGTCTTAGGACTATATTTCGGGTAAGTTAATTTGAAGTTCTATTAAATAGATGAGTAAAAAACTGTCATATAACTAATACTACAGTTTAGTTCATTCTTAATTAAATAAAATTTTAAAATAGAATCTAAAAAAGTGTCACATCAAAGTTTATGACGTTGTTTTTTTAAACTTTATCCTTTTTTCATAATTTGACCTGTTGAAAATATAGATCTATTCTATGTTGTGGCACTTTTTTGTTTTTATTAAGCAAAATTTTGTAAAAGCTGATTGAAAAAAAAAACCGTCACAACCAGTTTATGACTGTTTTATCTAATTTAATCTAATTAGTTTATACTACATAGTGATGGTAATACAACCATATTATGGGTTATACCCATTTTGTATCCAGATTTATGTCAGTTTAACAGTTTAACCACTACTTTAAATCAATTAAATATGAGAAAACATTGTCATTCCCCGTAAATTTTCTTTCAGGACATAGAAATGGCTGACAAATTTAAAGAAAGTCTGGCTAAAAAGTTATTGCATTTAATATAATCAAAATATTGGAAACAAAGAAAATTATGATAACAATAGCAAAGGTAAGCTGGTATAGAAAAAATATTGGGTAATTTTTGAAGTGATCTATAAATATTGATTTATGTTTTTATCTAAACTGAAATGTTTTCATAATAAAATATTTGTATATATTATAAAGCACTATTATTTTTTTGCAGAATATCCAGTCATTACGCCAGTAATTGAAAACTCAGGGAATAATGAGATAATAAAATAACCTGAATTTCACTATTAGCGAACTTGGATCTGATCACACCGAATGCTACTTGTGCTATGAAGGTGAAGCTAATCGAGGAGCAGACGAGATTGGATCTTGTGTACTTAAATTTGTTGACAAAGTTATGGCAAGTTACAGCGGCTCAGGGATTGAATTCGTATTTTTCTCAGACAATTGCTGTGGGCAGCAAAAAAATAAATTTATTTTTTCTATGTACACATTCGCTTTGATGAAGCATACCAATATAAAATCAATAACTCACAAATACCTTATAACCGGCCACACCCAAAATGAAGGGGATGCAGCAAATTCCACGATAGAAAAAGCTATCAAGAAAAACCTCAGATCTGGACCCATTTATGTCCCCAGCCAGTCGAGAAAGAAAGGCAATGCATACAATGTTAATAAAATGTGCTACAAAGATTTTTCGATGAAATGTTTGGCTGATGATATAGGCTTTAATGCAAAAAAAAATTGAAGACAGCTGAAATAAAAGTTTTGAAAATGATTCAGGGCGAACCCACTAAAGTTTTCATTAAACATTCTTATATTCTTATAAAGACTCGGATTTTCAAGAAATCCAAATCACTAGAAAACAATTAAAGGCTCAAGACATTCAAATTAAACCAGCATACAGATGCAAACCTAAAATAAAAGAAAATAAAAAGAAGGACCTTATAAGTTTAGTCAACAGTAACCACATTCCAAATTTCTATGCCTCTTTTTATAGTAGTCTCTAATTCTAAATAAGAATTTGGTACTGGCAGTGTATACATACAGACTCACTTTAATTTATAATATTATGTTTAAGATGATTGATATTATGTGATGATGACCGAAATTAGTATAAGAAAAAACATTTTTAAGTGATTTTTGAAGTTCCTGTTAGATTTAAAAAGATAAAGTTCATAGTTTAAGAACTATTTTAATAAAGATGTTTATTAGTACATGTTGTATTATTATTAGTTATAACACCACCATAATCTAAAAGAGTCATATTTTGGGATTATTTACAATTATTAAAAAAAAAACATTTATAATTGCAATTGCTGTTCTAACTTTGATTTTCCTAAAGAAGCTTATTAAATTTCACATTAAATAAAATTATAAAAAAAATATATCAGCCACCCCGAGGTGACTACATCGTAATGTATTTAAAAAAAAAACTTAAAATGGCTATTACTCGAAACCTGTTTTTTAGTGATGTGACAGTTTTTTAGAGGATGTGCGATATGTTCGTGAAGCTTCATCAGATCAGATTTAAATATTGCAAAGATTACCCGAACAGACAGACAGATATTTAAAAAAAATTACTATATTTTAACGGCATGCAAGTCCCCCCCTCCCCCACATATATGAAAGTTATTTCAATATTACGACAGACATTTCTATTTTATTTATATTTATTGATTATGATATAAAGAAGTAACTTTTCCGGACAGGTTACTAGCATCGGGCCGCTTGGACTCTCCCAGCATCTTTATCCCGGGCTACGTGAACAGTAAACGCAAGAAGACCACGTCCTTCCGACAGTGTGGTGTCACCGATCCCAACGAGACGAAAAGTAAGTCTGGATTTAAACCGTATCTATCCCTCCTCCTAAGTTTATAAATGCTAAACGAAACGGTTATACCGTCATTTATGGAACACCATACAATCTTTCTGGAAGTTCCATATGCCGCATCTCGCCTGTAAAGAAATATTAGCACAATCACGAAATGTAAAAACCAAGAGGAAGTCGTATAATTTGTTCCAGATCCACTGTCGTCTAACTTACACAATCGCAAGAAATAAATGCGGACCGACAGTTGTGCATCAATTCAATAATTTTCACATGATTGGCTGTGAAAAATAAAATATATCCCTTGTCTACATTATTATAAAGGGAACCTCTATGCAAGGTTTGGACTGGGCGTTCATATAGCAGTGAGTGATTGCAATAAGTTATTGAATCGGGATTTGTCTTTTTATAACACAACACGGTATATTTGTGCATATCACTTAAGTAGTGGCCCGATAGCTCCCTACAATTTGAGCCTGTGATTAAATGTCATTTACGCATAAATTGTTTCGAAATTTTCATATTTTTAAAAGTGTTTTTTTTATTGGGTTGGGCGATACCTACTGTAACTTTGTACTAAGTGTACTAAAGTGTAAAACGTGCTTACGTACCTCATTCGATCGTTGATCGCACTCATATATCAGTCCCGAGTTCCAGTCCTTATTACAACTCAGAGCTTGTAGTACTGCCATACTGTCGGTAAGTATTCTGATGGAGAAGTCTTTCACCTTCCTAGCATCTATTGTTATGGCCGCTTGGATGATACTGTAGCGGCGCTGTCGTCGCGTCACTAGCACACCGAAATACACAGAAGCCTAAATCACTCTATCAACATTGTCTTTACCAGATATATGCCTTATGTCGGTCGTGAACTGTGAAATGTAGTCTAGATGTCTATACTGCCTAGGCGAACAGTTGCCTTTCCTCTCGCGGAAAACAAAACTGATAGGCTTGTGGTCGGTATAGACAATAAAATGTCTCTTATTTCCTTAGATACCTGATGTTCTAATTGACCAATGACATAGTTGAATTTAGTAGAATCATTAGTTATACCTGAAATCGCGAATTGTCCTTCTACCTGAGCAAACCAAATCTCAGGTTCTTCTGGCCAAAATGGCGGAACACGAATTACAACTTTGCAAATGTCGGAAGGACCGACAGACATGTGCTCACCACTGTGCTCGCGTTGTTTAGCCATTATAGTATTAAATACGTATTCAGCTCGGGGTCACCAGTTTAGCGAGATAAATAGTCTATACAAATAATTCCACAACACTGACAGTTAAAATGTTTACTTTAATACACACAAGCAGGAGATACACAATTTAGCACAAACAAGCAGAAGATACACAAGCCAAGATAAAAGAGTTTATAATAAAAATACAGTCTAGCAAAAGCACAATCAATATAAACCGTAATACTTAAAGTCTATGGCGAGAACAAGGGATTAATGTTAGCGAACAACATGCGTTCCGCGTGGTATCGGTAGAACGACTGGTGAACGCGGTGCGCGGACGCAGGCGATCCTTTTGCCAGCTGTGTTAACGGAATTCCGGGCGGCGCGTTCAACGCCCGGCTGTTGCTACGTGCATTGTGTTGAGAGTATATAGTGGCGTAATATATAGTCGTGTAAAAGTATTGTATATGTTGAGTGTGAGAGAGTATGTATGTGTGTATCTGTGTGGCATATGTGTGTGTGTGTATAATGTAGGAAAGTAGCCTACATTCACTCCCCCCCCAGAGGCCATCTTATGGTCGATAATAGTCCGGGAATCTAACACGGCGTCCAGACCTTGTAATTGGACCCGGATGGGACCCTTTAATATTCTCTGAGGAAGCGGCCTGAATGGGACTGTAGCTGCTACCGTCAGCTAAAATGTAAGCCGGTTTAAGTCTGTCGATTGAGACATTCATCTCGTTGCCTTTTACCAGGAGTTTAAATACCTTATCTCCTCTGGCGAGTACCTTGTGCGGAAATTTTATAACCCAAAAATGTTACTTCAGACGCACCGAAAACACATTTAGAGGTGTTGATCAACATCCCATACTCCTTCAGTCGGTTAAATATCTGGCGTAAATGCTCCTCGTGCTCTGACTCGCTCCTCGAGAATATTAAAAAGTCATCCAGGTAACAATAACAAAAATCTAAACCACGCGTGATCTCATCCACGAACCTTTGGAAGGTTTGACTTCCATTACGCAAACCGTAATTCATATACTTAAATTCATATAAACCAAATGGTGTAGTAATCGCGGTTTTAGGTATGTCTAATTCACTGACAGGTATCTGATTATAGGCCTTAACAAGGTCTAAGGTAGTAAATATGTTACATTCAGCGATGCTGTGAGTAAAGTCATGGATGTGCCTTATGGGATACCTATCAGGAATAGTCCTAGCATTAAGCAACCTATAATCGCCACAGGGTCGCCAGCCATTCTCTTTTTTGGGAACTAAATGTAAAGGAGCCTTGCTGAACACTGTAGCGCAGAGTGTAGCTTGAAGGAACAGGAAGCATTATTATTCCAGTGCTGCGAAGAACCTTGTGAAGCTAGATGGCTTGCAGGATATGAAGACTGCAGACGATATCTGCTCGGGAGCGAATGGGTGGGGTATTCTATGACGATGATGAAGCTTGAAGTTTCTGAAGGTTGTTTAGTTGCGTGTTCAGATCACGTCGGGGTCACCACTGTGGCCGTGGAAGGAAAAGGGGAGATCTCCCGCCGGGCAAGGTGTTTTGCCCGGGGAGCGGCCAACGCTCCGATTGCCGGTGTGTCCTTTAATGCCGGTGGGGAATGCATACTGTGTGCGTAAAGGCAAGTGACACCGGTGCGAATAATATGCCGATGTGTAATGCATGCCGTACTACGCACTGGCAAGTGATGCCGGTGAGAACGATGTGCCGGAGAAGTTCTATATATACTGTCTATGATTCGGAATGTTGATAGCGTGATTTAAGCTTCGGTGTATTTCGCTTGTGGCGCGACGACAGCGCCGCTACAATACCCATGCATTCAGTTTCAGCCTGGGATACTGTGTTATAGGTACCCAGCGGTGTGCATATGTGGATGTTAAGGTCTTCAGAGAAAGCCCCAGACCTCACACCTTCATTTATCTTAGAACCATTATATATTTTAACTTTTCTCTAACCGAAGTATTATATTTTAATTTTTCTCTTACAGAGACCTCTTACTTCTTCTCGTCGGACTCATCAGCAGTAAGGACTACATCGCTCAGCTTTCTATGGATATCGATATTAGCAATTGTGAAATGGTTACTTGCGTAGAAAATTATAAATTAATATTGTAATTATATGTAAAATAAATTATCATTTCTAATTATCTTTTCTTTGAGCAAATAAGATTTACTTCTATACCTACGGGCTACAATGGCTATCCGAGTACAGAACCAGAGTACAAAACCTATGCAACTGCAGAGAGGTGTAAGACAGGGTGACGTTATATCCCCGAAACTTTTCACCGCTGCATTAGAATACGTTTTAAAGCATGACTGGACTAGAAATGATACAGTATTAACATAAAATGGCTAGTACATCACTTGCCTTCGATTTGCAGACAATATAGTCCATATGGCAGAATCGCTGGAGGACCTAAGCACTATGCTCCATGACATCAATAGTGCCTCCTAACGGATAGGTCTTAAGATGAACATAGAAAAAACAAAGATCATGTGTAATATCCATGCCGGTGATTGTTGGGAGCACTAAGTTCAAAGTTGTTGACAACTACGTTTACCTGGGCCAAATAGACTATGTAAGTAGAACTTCGACCGGGAGGTCAATCGTCGGATTCAACTTGGTTGGGCAGCGTTAGGGCAATTGAGACATCTTCTTTTCAGGTATACCTCAAAACCTGAAAACCAGATTGTACAACCAGTGCATATTACCACTTATCACCTACGGATATGAGACGTGGTCCCGGATTGCTGGCCATTAGAGAACGCTCAAGGTCGCGCAGCGAGCTATGCAGAGGGCTTTTTGCGTGATAAACTTAGAAATAATTATATCCGCAGTAGAACCAGAGTGTCCAACATAGCCCAACGGATTAGTACGCTGAAGTGGGATGGGCCGGCCATATAGTTCGAAGAACCGACAAATGATGGTGAAAAAGGGTTCTCGAGTGGCAGCCTTGAAACGGTAGGCGTAGTGTAGGGCGACCCCCAAATAGATGGAGTGACGACCTGGCAAGGCATGCTGGAAGTCGATGGATGTAGTTGGCTCAGGACCGTGCTTTGTGGCATTCCTTGGGGGGGGGGGGGGCTATGTTCAGCAGTGGACTTGAAAGCTGTAAAGATTATGATGAAGATGATGACCTCTATACCTGTCTCCTTCTATTATCATTTGGCAAATAGAGAAAACAAATTTGAGCATTTCAAAAGTTCTTTTTAGGGTTCCGTAGTCAACTAGGAACCCTTATAGTTTCGCCATGTCTGTCTGCCCGTCTGTCCGTCCTCGCTTAATCTCTGTGACCGTTAGCACTAGAAAGCTGAAATTTGGTACCAATATGTGTATCAATCACGCTGACAAAGTGGTAAAATAAAAATTGGAATAAAATGTTTTATTAGGGTAGCCCCCCTATATGTAAAGTGGGAAGTGATTTT